GGCTATGGACCCGCTGATCGCCTATATGTGAAACACCCGGTAACGGGTGTGTGCATTGATCGGGTCTTTTCTGCCCGTGCGTGCCCGTCTGGAGACGGCAACCCGCAGATGCAGCAGTGCCGTCCGTCCGTTTTTTTACTACGGGCGGACGGCAAGAGGTTAAGGTAGCCGGGAAGCATGTAAGGACTCACCACCTGGATTCCCGATTAGCAGTCTTCATGCTATCTCGTTACCAGGTGATGAGGGAGCATGGAGCTGGCTGCTTTCTGGTCAATCAGGAAGCCGAGCACCATGTAATGACTCGCCGTCTGGCTTCCTGATGGGCCAGCTGCTCGACCAATCAGGAAGCGAGTCATTACACGGTGCCCGGCTTCCTGACAGGCCAGAAAGCCGGCTCCATGTTCCCTTGTCGCCAGGTGATGAGGTAGCATGAAGCTGGCTTTCTGGCCAGTCAGGAAGCCGGGCGCCGTGTAATGACTCGCCTCCTGACCAATCAGGAAGGTAGGCGGTTGAGACATTAATGCTGCCCGGCTTTCTGATTGGCAAGGAAGCTGGCTCCATGCTACCTCATCACAAGTTTGGGTATCAGGCCAGGCATCGGATTATTTGAACGAGTGACCAAATACTCATTTCCAAGCCTGCTGACTGGAAGGGACATGAGCATGCTAATGAGGTCATCACTTTGCTCTCAGCTGACAGCACTGGGCAAAGCGTCACTGGCCCCTCCCTCTTTCAGTCCTGCTATACAGAGGAACACAGGCATGTTCCTATATTATATATTGGAGAGCTGCATTAAATGATGTCTTTATACCCGGCCTAGATGAACCTCGCATGCATGTTTAGTGCACTTCTTCGTGAAAGAGCTCTCCGGTACTGTGGCCCCGGAAGTCATGCAGTTACATTATTCTTCCTGCCTTCTGTATGAACAGACAGTTGTTATAAGGAAAGAGAACCATTGATCCCTATTTTAGTGACGGTGGGAGGACGGAGCTGTGAGCTTCAGCACCGCGATTCCTCTGGAGTCCCTGAAGAACTCTGAAAATCAGCCGGTAATTTAAAAGATAAATTAACTTTAAAACAAAGCGCAATGATCCCTTTTGCCCCTTTACCCTGACCTAACCCAACCCTCCACAGACAGCCACTTACCTCGATCGGACTGCCATGGCCTCTGGTGTTTGTGATGCACAGGCCCTGACAGGGTGTGAACAGTCTCATAGATTTCTATGGGCCATATCAATTCGTCTCCAGTCTTGTGACAAAGCACTATAGAAGTCGATAGGGTTGTAATACACAGGTGTGGCCAGGACGCTGGATGTAACCAAATACTGAAGGCCGCAGCCTTAGGATCATATGCGACACTAAATGCATTCAGGTACCATAACTAATAACAACAACAATGTATCTTACTTGTGTGTCACTCGGCTGCAGATCCTCCAATCATCTCTGAATTGGTGCTGACACTGTCCTTCCTTCTGGAGGGGGGGGGGGGGCTACTTTTGTTCCCCATGGTCCCTGTGTGTGTTGTAAAGTAGTCACCGCTCCAAGCTCACTCCTGATTCATAGTTAAGGGACTTCAATGTATTTTTAAGATTTAGGCCTCATTCACACATGGTAGAGTTGGACGTGCGGCGTGCACGGACATATCGGGCCACTCTCTGGAAGGACAGGTGCGGCGTGTGATTTGCACGCAGCAGCCTGTTCTTCTCTATGGGAGGACGCGGCCGTACGCTCACCCGAGCTGCACGTCCGTGCGTGTGCCGGTGTCCCTGCTCGGACGCAGACAGGATCCATCCCGCCAGCGTACGAGTACGGACACCCGCACGGACGTGCAGCTTGGGTGAGCGTACGGCTGCGTACTCCCATAGAGAAGAAGCCGCTGCGTCCTTCCCGGGAACAGCCGGCTGCGAGTCGTGTGAATGAGGGCTTAGTGTCACTTTAAGTCCGGGTAAAGTGGGAAAAGAGCTCAATGCACTTACATTTTAAAATGCACTCACAGGCCTTCACCCCGACACTGAACAATCTAGTCCTGACCTCACCAAAGAACGCAGTAATCTCTGCCTTCAAAAACGGAATATCAAACATGAGCTATACATAAGAGGCAAAAACAAAATGTATTTCGTTATCACAATGTAAAGACACAGGGGAAGGGGGGGGGAAAGAAATAAAACAAATAAGCACACAAAATCGCAATTAAAAATGTACAATGGGCGTGTCTGCAGAGC